TTTTTCAACCACACATTTCCCATATTATCACTATTCACAATCAATTATTCCTCAAAAAACCTCTATCAAACAAGCTATTAGTTTCCAAAAATCTCTGGTACATGTATGAATTGTCAATCCTAAAAATGAACCACTCAGCCCAAGGTGAAGGCCTCTCCATAAGTGGGAAGGGCTTGAGCGCAAGCAACTTAGAGAATGTTTGGTCAAGCTTAAAATTCATTTAAAATTGAAAATATAGTTGTTATTGGGTATAAGATTCACAAGAGCAGGCGACACCCTTTTTCTCCTAAAATTTCACTTTTAACCTTTGAACTTTTTCTCAATTTTCAATTGAATCCTCAAACTTCATCATCATCCAATAAAATCTCTGAACTTTCTCCATTTACCAATTTAGTCCTCTACCTCTTTGAATTAGCTCGAATGCATCTCATATCTTTTCAGTTTAGCCCCGTTTGTCTCTAACAAGTCCCTCCTTTAGTCCATTCTACAAACAAAAGAAAATTAGCACAAATTAGTCCAAACAAAGATTATTTGATGCAAATTTGTAAACTTAAGGGCCCTAAAAAGTGTAAGAACTACACTTATCACGTTACCATTAATATTTAATCGGTAAAATTAAAGTCGAGTTCTAAATCTTTGCAAAAAATGCAGATTAATGATTTTTTAATCTTCAAATCTTGACACCACGGTTGTGAACCTTTTTTAAATGATGATGCAGTTTTGAAGGGTATACAGGCAAAGTCGGATGAAATAAAAAGGAAAAGGAAAAGAAAACAAAATTCTCTTTTTAAAATTAGGATATAATAATTCCTTCCTATTAATATTTAGCTACTATTTGGGAGGGATTAAAATTTAGATTATAATCCAATTCAAAGTCAATCGTTGATTTTATTAACATATTTCATATGATCGATAACTTTTCAACAACACGTTTCATCAACTTTTATCAGATTTCACAAAAAAATCTGATTTTAATCTCTATCAAACATGAGCTTAATCTTAGATTTAATAAAATAGCAGGTGGAATTACAAACGGGAGTTTCTAGGATTCCAACGCATAGGATTTTATTATTCATATTGACAATTTTGTCACGTGGATACTTACCTCAAATATTTAAATAGGTTGAGGAGTTAGAACCTCACTTTTGAAAGTTAAAAATTCGTAACCATACTAAGCTCAAATTTGATACTGGTTAAAATCTAGATTTTAATTTAAGAAAAAATCGATAATAATTCATTTCAACCACATATTTTATGGGTCCCACAACTTTTCAACCATACATTTCATCAATTTCTATCAAAATTTACCAAAAATCTGATTTTAATCCCCATCAATCTGAGCCTAAATAAAAAGTTCAGGAGCCAGATNTACTAAGCTCAAATTTGATAATGGTTAAAATCTAGATTTTAATTTAAGAAAAAATCGATAATAATTCATTTCAACCACATATTTTATGGGTCCCACAACTTTTCAACCATACATTTCATCAATTTCTATCAAAATTTACCAAAAATCTGATTTTAATCCCCATCAATCTGAGCCTAAATAAAAAGTTCAGGAGCCAGATAATTTTTGTCAATTTTAAAATTTAACCATTTAAAACGGTTTAGAGAAATACTAAACCAAACCAAAAAATTCATTTTCCAAACTAAATTAAACCAAATCATTTTACATGGTCCGATTTGGTTTAAAATCACAGTTTATCTGTAGACATAAAATTAATGTCTTTTAAATAAATTAAAAGTGATCTACCATTGTATGCTCAAGCTCAAATAAAAAGGTTCTAAACATAAAAAATTGCAATACTTTAGCAAATTATGGCTTAGATGTTCAAACCAAACCCTGGGTTTGGCTAGTCTTGCAGCTTCTGTTCCGTTTGACAAAATTTATAAATTATGTATAAATGGTTAAATTTATTTTCAATTATATATTTCGATGATCAACAAGTATCAAATACACAAAATGCAGATAAATAATTCTCAGTCGAAAGGGGCCAGCAAAGAACCGTAAAAAACTAGTATAGTAGCGCAAGGAAAGCAAAGATGAACTAGCTTGGTGGGAATAAATAATAGGGAGAATTGCAATCACAATATCAAATCTTTCATTTTGTTGTATACTTGAGCCTAATCTTTTATTTTGCACACACAGAAACAAACATTTCAAGAACTCGCACTTAAAGTACAAATGGATAGAAACAATTTGTTCATCTGTTAGTTGATCAAAATTTAACTAATTTTGAAAGGGTAAATTTACATTTTTCATATAAAGGAATTAAAATAATTAAATAAAAAACAAAACAAAACAAAATATAAAGAACGAGAATTTATCATCTTTCGACTTCCCAACCAACATCCGGACCTCCAACCCCAAATCCAAAATCAACACCAAAATATCATCGCCACAAAAACTGCAAGCACCACCACGTTGCTTCTTAATCCAGTGACACTAAGGGAAGTGTCTTCAACTGAGATTGTAATGAATTTCAAAAATCATTCTAAATTTACGTATCTTCAATTGAGATTTTAATGGATT